AATTATTAACTCACTTTAATGTAATGGTGCAGCACGTGTGTTCATCAAACAACACTACTTCAACCGCTGGTTACTTAACCGAATATTAAATTTTCAATCCGTTGCGATGTAACGTTCAAATAAAGCTGCATATTTCGGTGGATATGGGATATTTTTACACGTAGATGTAGATTCACGTACATACGTACGTGTCCACGTAATTTTCATATGTTACATGCAGAAACACGTGCGTTCAGAAATTTCATTTTAATTTCAAACACAAAATTGTTGACATTTTATAAGTACACGAAGCATGGCGAAATTAGAGCAATTAAGTTCTGCATAAACAAAATTTATAAATTTCTAAATTCCTCATACACGTTTGTAAATTTCTAACAAGAATTAAACATGTATGAGCGTGCGAGTTTGAAAAGTTTCACACGCAATGAAAACTATCAAATATTTCTGTATTGTATTATAATATATAAAACACAAATTGTCATATTCTAAATGTATATTACATCAATAAACCACCCAACACGAATCCTTTCCCCAATTTATGGAATAAAGATCTGTACAAGGGATTCCCGTCTACCAGAATTCCCTCGAAATGATTGGCCGAGAATCTTCGTGGGTAGAAAGAAAGAGAGCAATCAGATCTCTCTGGCCTTCTTTCTTGAACTATCAGAGCCACACACACGCGCACATATACACACAGACACATACAGTTTAGCTTCTTTCCCATCCCATTGACAACGTTGTTAATCTATTCGTTGCTTCTTGGCGCTGATTCAGACGAAAGAGAGTGCCACGGTCAACAGCGTAATTCAGTCGTCAACCGTGTCCCTTTGCTCACGCTAGATTTAACCAACTCGAACGACAGATGATTAGGCAGATAGGATACAGTTAGCTGGATGGAAAAATAACGACGTCGTTGCTGTTTCCGTTGAGAGAGACTCCGCCGAAAAGAAAGGACAAACAAAACGATAATTCATGCTCCATCTGGATCCACTCGTTATCCTATTTATCCAGTCGCTGTGAACGGGTGATTTATGGCTTTCGAAAAATATACAATTCACGACGAAAGAAAAATTGTAATGCGCTGATAGCGTGAAAAGAAATTTTTACCAGCTTACTTTACGAGATCTTTTTTATTGCCTGTGGAAAAACGTGTCGCTGGAAAGTTCTATTTGAAGAAGTGGATACGTATAGTTGAACATTTGCGAGTAAATTGTGAAATTACAATTTAAATAGGATTTGAATAGATTTTTTTGATTAAATAAGAATGACGTTTCCATATAATTTAATTGCATGCTGAATTAAGCAGAGAAATTGTTTACTCACTAAACACTAAAACTATTAATCTATAATATGTGCCCAAATACATTGTACATATAGGATTATAATAACTACTTCAATATTATATACACTTAATAAATTAAACAGGTCATAAAATAAAAATTACGAGATGAAATAAAAAGATTTTCGAGCATCTTGGATTTGCTAGTTCTAGTGTAAAGTTTTCTAGTCGCTACGAAATTTCGCAATTCTTGTAATTACAGTCATATATGCGCAAAAACTGAAAGATTTATTTACTCATCAATAGATAATTAAATAGTTTTCCTTCTCCTCCTTCCTTCCTTCCGAGATATCGATGACCATCGTTGGCAATAATTAATTAACATACGAGTTTATTTTTTTAATTGTATAAAACGACGATGGTCCTATTACTTTCGCGAATCGCCAAGGCAACGCTTTTAAAAGAGACGTTTAATTGATTGAATCGTCGGTCGGCGAGATGAAATGCAGGTTAATTGAACGAGACGTGAGCACTTTTGAATTAACGGGCAAATGATGAGCTTCGAATCGAACCGTTTAAAGGAGGCCATTAGAAGAAGAAAATAACGCCGGTGACATAAAACGGGCCTCTTCGTTTCATTATCAGAAATATTCAATCGACTTGCCGAATTATAATAGTTAAATTTAATTAAAGCTCTCCTTTCAAAGAAAACGAAAAGAAGAAAAGAAGGAATTAATTTGTCGCGTGAAAAGAAGTTTATGTTATTTGTTCTTTTAACGGAGGATCGTCTATCCGACTGATCGAATTATATCAAATTTAATTGGAAGGATTTTTTAGTATCTTCTTTCAAGATAATAAAAAAAGAGAGAAAGAAAGTTAATTCTACAAGAAATTTCGTTATTTATAACCTTAATGGAGGAACATCTTGAAAGTCGCCAGCTTGACACATGAAATGGGTAAGCTGTTCCGCTAGGAAAACACGTGATCATCGTATCTCTACAGGCTAGAAACGTTACTCGTAGGCACGTTTAATATATATTCTGGAAGGTAAGCTACTCAGGAGTAAGATTAAAATTCATCGTCACGTACTAACAATCGCTTTCCAAGCTGATCTCTCTTTTTTTTCTCTTCTTCTTTTTTTTAGCAAACGTTTCTTGTGCACTATAATGCACTATATTTTAACACAGAAATTTCACGAAAATCGCTGGAAATCTGCGATGATACGCAGATTTAGTTCAACGTTGGACGCTATTAGATACTGTGTTATCATGTGATTTTTCATTTCATTGTAAAAGTGTTCCTGATGAAAATTATTTTAACAAATAGGCAACTGTCGCTATTGATATTAAAAATCGTTTGGTAATCATGAAAATATGTCGAGATCGTGTTATTAGCGTTCTATAACTATGAATATTATTGAGAGCTATTCAGGTCGAATCATTAATATACAGGATCGTTTCAAGATTATACGGTGTTATCGAGGTCCTGTTATTGGCATTGAAGGCCATTTGAATGACATGAGAAGTCATGGAGGTGATGTGATTGAGAATCAATTATACGTTATTACAAGGTAACGATGGATCATTTAGGCAATTAGGATCCTGGCATTGACATTTAAGATCACTCGAAAGTCACAAACGCGATATCATATGTAAGTAAGATTTCCAGAAAAATGATTGAAACTTGGATAAAATTCAGATCTTTTTCATGCTCAAATGTCCGTCAGGATATATTCTACGTATGTTCGTTATCAAAAGGATCTTTCGTCGGTATTTTGTTTCTTCAAACTGTATGGTTTAAAAACTAATAAAAAATAATCCAACGTTATTCCCGATATAAAAGTTAAACAAAAATTGCTTGACGCAATTTCATCTGTAGTATTCCTCTTTATATGCATCCTAACGCTTCTTTAGTGGTTTCGAATTACCATAGAAAATACATCGATCGGTTCTATTACCATACGATTCACACCGTTCCAATTCAGCTATATACTTTTACACGTTTCTACTCGACAGACATAAAAATCGTCGTTGGTATACAATTAAACAATAATTTTACTTAAAATATCTGACCATTGGAAATATCGAAATAATTGGAATCTGGATTCTTAAGACTCAGATTAACAATTACCTTAAAAATCGTGAAATACTTTCCTAACTGCAGTTATTTTGTTTTTTATTTAATTTAACATAGCCACATTCTCATGTAAAATAAAACTGAATTTATTTCTGAGCTTGTTAAAAATATTTTCTGTCATGTCGAAGGTGAAATTACAAGTTATTAATTATTATATAAGAGAGTGACTGTAATTAAATTAGATGATCGCAACTATAAATGATTTTACTGCATCAATAAAAAGAAGATAAATACTACACATCTTAAGTCAAAACGACTAATTTTTAATAAAACAAAATGACGTAGTTTTTAATAAAAAAATTTTGTACAGCAGTATATTTTTATAGAATTGACTCTGATTTTTTATGTTATAAGCTTCTCCCAGTTTTTCTTTTTTCATTTCCATCTCTTTGCAGTTTTAGGACAATTATCGTAAAAGAAAATAAACACGAAAATTTATCAATCATCAAGAAACAACGCGCTTGAAAATACTGACGAGCGAGATCACCTCAAAGTATAACCATCGAGTTTATAAGCTGTAAGCACGGTTTACGATATTATACGCTGAATGGCTGTCGTCATTAATTCTATCGGCAAAGCTTGACTTTGAAAAGTAACGCGCTGATTTGCATAAGAAACGCGTCAGCTTTCAACGCTCGACTAACGAGACAAACTGATCGCGAAGTCGGCCGACTGAATAGATTAAAAAGTTGCCAAGAAAACCTGTACCCGAGTTGCACTCGTCTTGTTGTTGCACTCGTGAAAATCCCCGCCACGGTCTGCTCGTAGCAGGCTCTGATTTCCAGAGTAGGATTATGCCGGGGCATTCGAGGTAATTGAACGCGTTTTCGTGGCGTTGGATGAGGTTGCTGTTTATGCAAATGACCAGAGCCCGATTAAGAATATCGTTGCGTCTGGTTTTTCTTCTTCTCGGCGAGGTTAACTCTAGGTAGATTTCTTTTTACGAAGTTGAATTGAAATATAACGTTATAAAGACAAGGGAGAATTTTTCTATTATCCGAATGAGTTAACGCGTTCAAGTACATCAAGTACGATAAGTCTATTAACTGTTTTCGTGCTCAAACTTTTCGGTTGAAGTTATTACATAATTATCAAAATCCGAGCTTAGGTATAACGCAGTGTTCTTCCTTTCGAAGAAAAACTAAAGTTTCGCAAGAACTTCGTCTCGGATCGAATAACCCACGAAGCTTCGCCGAGAATTCAATTTTTAACAAAGTCAACTCTTTCAGCGAACACAGTTCCCCATTATTAAAATCCTCCGACAGACTCAGCTACCGTACATCTATATATCCCATACATCTTGATAAATCGTAAACCATTTAATCTTCGTTAAACTTCGCGAGAAAAATCGAGCGTCATCCATCAACTTCGATAATCGCGATCCGTTTAATCTTCATCAAAATTCAGGCATCCAGGTCCATTAACTTTGATAACTCGTTAAATCCTCGTCGAAATCGGGCATCGTCCATCACGAATCCCCCAACATCAGGCAAAGTTTAACAAATGATAAACGAAACAATCGTAAAGAAAGGAAAAGAAATAAAAATACAAGCAAGAGAGGAGGAGAGGAGTCGACTCAACTCACCTTGGTGTAGACACCGGCGCTGGACAGTTCGTTCTCGATGACCATCACGATGATGCCGAACATGCCCATGACGAGCGCGTAGTCGCTGATGCGTTTCCGCTTCTCGAACAGGGCCTTCCGTCTGCCGAGCCGGTAGCCAACGTTCGGCTTGTGCTTCGAGCCGGGGCCAATGCTGCCCGATGGTCCTTTCACCTGGCCACCGGCTAGCACGCGGTCGTCCACGTACCGTGGGTACTCCGAGTGGACGCCGACCAGGGCGATACCAGCGTCCTCGCCGGTTCCGGTAGCGCCGCCGCTACCGCAACCAGCCCCGCCGCCGCCCCCGGCGACCCCCACGCCGCCCCCGGCCACGCCGCCGCTGTTCTTCATCGCCCCCGGGATCGAGAGTGTCGACACTGGCTTCCGTAGCTGCAACAACCATTGTCAACGCTCTGTTACAACGCCCGTGACAACGACGACGACGACGACTTGGATAACGATGATGGTCTGTGGGTTAGGTGGATTACGGGGCGAAAGGATGACTCCCTTGCTCGGAAGGGAAGTTTTATCGGGGTAACTGATAAAAAGAAACAGGTGCTTCCTGGGGACGAGAAGATGTGAGGATTGATAGGTTGCTACAGTCTGTTCGACGAATCGAGTTCAGTTGGTTGACGAACGTTGACTTCACGAGTCACTTCTGAAGATCGTGAATGACAAGAACGGTATTATAATAATTTAGCTATACTGTACCGAGTTGATTCGTTGAACGGACTGATAGATGTGGTATAAATATGAAGAAGACACGTGCAATATGTTGAGCGGTAAAGAATAGTGCATACTTCTCTTGTTTCTATGCTGTTTTAGTAGACATCTTCTCATGTCTGTACCGTATACGCGAAAGAAAATGAAAAGAAACGAATAATATGTAGGAAAGTAAAAAGCAAAATAGTATAGATTATAAACCATATATAGATTTATAAATTTCTTGCAAAAATTCATATGTTCGATTCAAGAGAAAGATATTTCGCTTTGATTCTAGATTCTAGAATATTGTGTTAATAATTCTACGACGGAGATTAATTTAAATTGTAAAAGAAGTGAAACAATACCTACTCCTTTTGTACGGAACGATTACAAAAGGTAATGTGAAGGGAGACAGCTGACAAATGGAGCAAACCCGTTATAAGAGAAGGATTCAACACGTCGACTTAATGTCGGAAATAATGTCCCTTTGAAAGGAGGATGAAGCTGAAGGGGAGCGTACCAGTGTTACGAGATCGTCAAACCAACCGAAGGCTTTTCTAGGTTAATGCCACTTGTCTGAGTGGTGGAATAAAACAGCGATGGTTCGGAAGAACCACGCGAACATATGGTAGAAAAATGCTTGCTGCAACGTGCAAGCCTCATCGCAAGAAACGTTCGGTACGCGACGCGTGATGACCCGCCATTTACGAAAGTATAACAAATTCAAGAGCCTTCGCGGGAAAATGGACCACGTTAATATCAATCTTTCTTTATTCCGTGAAATTCCCACGACATTATAAGCTGAATATTTCAAAGACGAAACGCAGAATCTTATTAACGTAGAATCTTATGAGCAAAAACGACAAATTCTTTCATTGACTGTTAGAATGTTAACATTAACGGTTTTATTATTAAAGTGGAATTAATTAAGAAACTAGAGAACTCTTACGACACCATGAATTGAACATTTAAATGGCAAAACTCATATTGACGTAGAATCTTTTTTTTTTTTTTTTATTAAGAGAAACAAAAATTTCTTTCATTAATATGAGAATGTTAACATTAGAATTGAAATCTTTATTATTAACGTAGAATTCTGCGTTATCTCTACGAGATTCCTGCCAATTCTCCAAGTATGGCTTGAGATCAGAAAATTGAATATTTTGTAGATATTGAACTATACATTAAATTATTGTTGGTTTGGCTTCGAATGTACGTCTGTATGTGTGTGAAGCTGTGAGTAGACCGTGGAGAACTGGAGCTTAACTTCCCCAAATCAAATTATGGATTCTCTTCGACAGATACTACAAAATGGTTCTGCACGAGTGTTTCCCTCTCAAGATTATTCTCTAAGACCGACTTTTCAAAACCGATTGTTTCACAACCGATTTGCAAAACTCCTCTATAAAACTCAAGATCCTTTGCATTTCATCGAAATGCACTCTTCTGCTCTCCCCTCCATACTCAATCTATTCCTTTCTGGGAACTCGTTACTTTTAGAACTAGATATAACCCAGAAACAAATATCTACAAACTTTCAGGACGTTTCACAGAGCCCCTGAGAACTCATTGGAATTAATTAAAGCAAGAAGTAGAATGTAACCAATCCAAGTCGTCGCTCGTTATCTCTTTGACGACTGGCTACTGCTGCTTCTTCTCAATTACAACAAAAATCATCTCCCAGCCATCTTTTTTCGTTTCTAACCAATCAGTCGTCTTTCAACGAGAGAGAGGCGAATTCTCTTAGGTTTAAGCCTCGCACGGAGCGGAGTAAGATGCGCATTAAAATTCAAGGAAGAGTGATGCAGGATCGGAACACGGCCGAAAAGTAAACGGAAGAAAAGCGTCGAGAAACGTGGAATTCGGAATGACGACAGGCTGCGACGTTTACGAGCGTTCCTCGATTCGGTTCGCCCGGAAATCCGGTCAAGGAGACGTCAACGACGATCGGCGTCGCCCCGCGTGTGCTTTGGAATCTCGATTGGCGGAGATCGATCGTGTTTAGTGCGCGCTGGTAAATGGTAAGCGGTATTCGGAGCGGAAACCAACGACGGGAAATAGCTTTATTCCTAAAGCGTGCAATTTCTCAACCTATGGAAAATTGAAAAATTTCCTACGACGTATCCTACGTGGTATAATGATACTATGTATAGAAAGGCTTTCGAGCCTCGGCACTGAAGAGAAGAACGTTTAGAAACAGAATTGAGATCAGGTCGTCCCATAAGTTCGTTCCGCTTACTATAACATTATTATTTATGATAAAGTTTGTAAGCGCCAGGAAAATATATAATTTCTTCCCGTTCTTTTTAACAAGGACGGAAAATACGTCGTCTGTAAAATTTCTTTGGTTTCTCGGTTGAAATATTTTTCAAGGTCTTTTTTTAAAATGTCAATATTCCAACGATAGAAATAGATTTGTCCATTTCTGTACATAATTTTTGACTAATCTTACGATCTTCCCGTACCATTTCCACTATAGTCGCCCAACTTTTCTACTTTACCATCTTCTTCGATTTAGTTCGTGTCATCTCAAGCAAGACAGATTTTCTAAGCTGATTTCACGGACAAAATCTCTCTCTCTCTCTCTCTCTCTCTTTCTCTCTCTCTATCCTTCAGTCTCACCTCGTCGCTTTAATTACAATGTGGCGCGCACGAGACAAAATTCTAACTGCATGAAACGCACGGCATATGCTACAATTCACCGAACTGTGGAATTAGGAGTAGTTAGTGTCACGTTGCAAAATTAGCAATTAGCTTGGCGAAAACGTTTGCGTTAATTCGACCAATTTCCCTCGTAACGCGCATTACAAAGGAGGTCACACGACGGGAGCAACTGTGGAAAAAAAGTGGTCAGCTGTGGTGTGAAACGGATCCGTCCCGCCGGTCCGCGTCGAATTAATCTCATAAACCCTTCCCCCGGTTCGTTCCAGTGAATATTCGCGAAATTTTTCCACTTCTGCGTCTCGAAAAAAAAAAAAAAGAAGCCGCAAAAGAGAGAACGAGGAAGTGACTTCTTTCGCCGTGGACTTTTCACCGCCGTCTCGATGGAAATCATTGTCCGAATGAACGATGAAACGACAGAGACGAAACGTACCGGAAGCACAGCGACGTTTAGCCGTTCCGACGATACAGAACGAAACACGACGAAACGGGACGAAAATTTCGCGCGTCGCCAAAGTTATCGTTGCGCTTTTAATGGCGCGTGACAGCGCGCGCACAAAGGAAATGCCGCGGAACAATAACGTGGAAGCCGAAACGCGCGTCCCCGTTCCAGACAACGAAATCGCATCCCCGACAAAGAGCATCTCGCGGCCGTTAAATTGCGTTTCCATGTGCCGGGGAATACCGATGCAACGCGTGTTAGAAACATTGAAAGTGACACCGAACGGAAACCATAACGGGGGTTGGTGAGGGAGGAGGTACGTTCACCTTTTCGAAATTACGTGACTTCTTACTCCTCCCTCGCCCCCTCCAGCTGAGGTTTATGGCTGTTGATCGATAGGGTCGATAGCTAGCGATCGACAATTTTGTTAACAGTGGCAAACATACGTCCACGGCGTAGATTGTCCTGTTCAAATATTGACCGTATCGATTGTGTACGGTTAGTATTAAAGGAATAGGTAATACTGGTGGTTGAAGGTTGACTATTTTCACTGAATACTTCGAAAGCATCGAGTGTGCAACGTCGACGTTTAATATCTCGAGTCGATGCTCATGATGCTTAACGTCTACGCCGACTAGAATTTGTAAGTAAAATTGGCGAATTGGTGAAATCTTTCAGGGCAATTCAGATTGGACAGGGAAATCAGCAAGAACGTGAATCAGACTATATTAAAATGGTGAAATGTTAAATTTTAACATTTTAAAAAACATTAATATGTTAAATAGTATTATATTAAAACAACAGTAAAGTACTAATTCACCTATTATTGTTTAAAATTTATTGAAATACTAGAGTAATAAAATATCAGAAACGTGTTAAATAGTATTGTATTAAAACAAGAATAGAGTACTAATTTACTCACTACTGTTTAAATTTTATTAAAATTTATTAAAATACCAGAGTGTTAAAATATCAAAACGTATTAAATAGTATTGTATCAAAACAGTGATATAAATATATTAAAACAACAATAATAAATATCGTATTGTATTAAAAACAATAAAATGTTACGCTTAAAAATGTTACGTTTGGATAAATCGCCGTTTTACCTCGATCCTCTTCCAACTCGATGTCTTTTTTTATCACTTTTGTAATTTTTCACGAGCGGAGAGAGATCGGGGAAGGTGTAAACGCCGCAGGGTGGAAAAATTCGGTTGATAACGCGCCACGGGCGAAGGCGGAAACGCGGGGCGGAAATAGAAATACAATCTGGCGCAACACGGTGCGCTATGGAATCGCGGGAAATGTACGACGAGCAAAAAATGCGGAACCGTGTATTGTGCGAAAATAAATGGCGAACGAAGAATGGAAGGATTTAAAAGTATGAATAGCGCGTCGTTCATGGTAAATAGGAAGTATAGAGGGCACGTGATCCCGGGAACATGTCCCGAAGGTACGTCAAGCGAAAGACACTTGCGGCGCTTCCTTCGCGTAACGAGTTGAACGCTTGCCTGACAACCTTCGTGCTCCAGGTTACAACCTGAGCTGCAAGTTTCGAGTATGAGCTCTTAAGCATTTAACT